AATAAACAGAGTTTTGAAAAATCTAGTTCCTCTCTGGGTCTTATATCAAAAAAATTGGAGCAAATGTATAAATGTTCTTCTATAATTCTGTAATTCTAATTTAAATTTTACCCCACTAATACAGGGTCAATTTCCCATAAAATAATCAAGAAAAGAAAAAAATAATATTAGATGACCCATTGAGCTAAATTGTTGTCTGGCTTTGCCACACTAATGGGTGGCATTTGGATCTAAGGGTAAATCAATTTTTTGTAAATAAGCTTTAAAGTTTTTATGTTCTATTAGGCTCCGAATTTACAAATCTCTCATAAGTTAATAAATTTTTCTCCTGGTAGAGCCATTTTTCTACACAATATAAAAGCTGTTTAAATTTACACCTTTATTGGCCTAACTTTTTATTGTTAAGCACAGTCAGAGTCAATACATACGAGAACGTTGATCAGCGATAGGCCTACGAAAGTACAGTATAACGAATGAAGGCCATTGCAAACCGCCGTACAACTTGTTGGCTAGTAAGTAAGACAAACTATATTATTATATTTAAGAAGATAATCCAAAGTTGGGCATAATTCATTTTCCTCAATGACGTCACTCGTGACATATTATTTTCTTTTTTTGTTCGACACACATTATTTTCTATGCACACGGCCATGAGTTGCATATCTATACACTGGCCACGGGACAGACCCAAGGGTGTTAAGTTGTTTTTTCGTTTTTCTAGTCTGTTCGGTCCAATTATCGAAGGAATACAAATGGTAGTTATTTAACAAGTACAGAGAGGACGACGTATGACCGTCGTCGGACCTATTTAAAAATATGTTCAGTATTATTCGTGACTACGCTGTATTTTTTTTTTTTTCATTTGTTATAACTCATAATGGAGCGCTTTATTTTGTATATTATTTCAAATTGAACAATGTCCGGGGCACGTGCTTCGTCATTATTTTCCCGCTGGTGTCCCGTGCCCGTTAAAATATACCTACGCTATGGGTAACACTATACATACATTATTAGGTATTATGTTCGTCCAATTGCGCTTTAAATTTGTAAATACGGAAACCCTATCGATACAAAAACGCTTTCGAAGAGTCCCGTTTCGACTATTACAATATTATGCATTGTGCGCAAATCCCATTCCAAATCCGATTTATACGATACCATGTTTTGACTTTACACCGGCCAAGTGCGAAACAATAACGTCGAAGCTCTGTTTTACAATGTAGGTAATCAATTTCGGACAAACTATACATGGGTGTATAATAGCATTCGAACACGTTAGTAGCGATATTTGACCTTCTTTTTTAAACAAAACACAAAATATATTATTATTATATCATATTAAAAGAATTTGTTCGCTGTATCAATAGGTTGTATTATGTTAATTGATAATATAATATGTTCATAATAATAATAACATAAAACTATATTATATTAGTTTTAAATAAAACTAAAAAAGAAACGTGGAAAATGTAAACAGTAACAAACTGACTAAATTAAAACAAAATATATAAATTAGAATACTGTCTAGAGTCTACCTATATTTTAAGAATCGATATTTCGTTATTATATTTTTCAATGATAAAGTGAAATTTAAATCTTTAAACTATAAATCGGATATTCGTTTAACGCTTATATTAATTATGAATTACATTTTCTTTTTCATAAATCCTTGAGTTTGTTTAATTTAAAAATGACGTAGGTTAATTAAATATTCGCTCTACGATTTTCCATTGCGTTTTTTTAATACATAATTCATTATATGTTTGTATTGTTATAGTTAAGCAAAAAAAAAGTAATTTAACGCTCACGATAATCCTTAGGTAATTTTTTTAAATATATTTGTTTCGCAAACAGCAGAGAATACAATCAATGATAATATTTTATTATTCATAAAATGTGAATTGCAATTGTTATGCACGTTTTACGTGTGAAATCTGTAAACAATGATTCCAAGTCAATTTTTAACAATATAAACTGTATATATTTCCCAAACACCGAAGAATTTTCGTACATGTTATTTCAATCACTTGATTGATTCATAAATCCTTTAACTATTTACCCTTTTAACCATGAATTTAAAAATGTGATTAAACAATTAACGTCAGTTTAAAAAGAACAGGTAAAAACGCCTAACGGTCTTGTGGGTATGCAACACAATATGCAATGCACAATCGCTATAAATATAATGTCGAGCTTTCATTTCACTCCTTGTCATCACAAACGATCCCTCTCATTGTCTTCATTGTTTAATTAAAGGTTTTGATATATTTAACGTTGGGGTAAATACTTTCCACTATAGGAAAAAGGCAAAAGCGACAATACGTATAATTTACAAATTTGATTAAAGTATTTCAACCATTTTCTCCATTATACATTATTATAGTTCAGTGTTTTAACTGAAACCGGTGGTTTTTAACACCTGGTGAGATTCCCGATTCCCCTGAGTTTATTTCATTCCACCTTAGGTTATTCCTACCAGAATATTTTTATTTCGATGCCATTCATTTTAAATTAAATTAAAAATCACATTTTCAGTGTTATTCATTTCAATGATTTCGTCGTATATATTAATATTAATTAATTACATTTTAATAATATGCAAGAACAATAAAATGAAAATTGAAATATTAAAACAAAAGCTACAATATATAATTTTATCACATGTCTATGTAGCAAAAACATAACATAATAATCATGAAAGGGTTTCAAAAAGTATCAGCTACAAAGGTCAAAGAGTTTTATCTCCTGTTGTCTTTGTTGGGAACGAAAATTATATTTTTTGAAAATTAGCAAACTTAATAATTAAAGGTCAGTCTGGAATCACATTTTAAACTATAACAATCATATTTCAACGATCGCGAAAAGAATGTTTTCATAAAGTTAAATGTTATTTAAAATTGGATAATTATTATTTCAAACTTTTTTAACGAATTCGAATATGTAAATTTATTTGCTGGTCAATTTTTAATTTATATTAGTTTTAGATCATTCTTTTAAACGCATAAAATGTTTTATATAAGTTAAAGCTATTTAGGTGGTAAAAATATGACTTGTTAGAAAAAACGATAATGCCTCGAAAAATAATCAGATTTTGATCATTTTTTGATAGTAAGACTTTTGCGGATTTCTCATTTTCTATAATTATTACTAAAAAATAGAAAATAAAGAGAAAAAAAAATTGTAAAACATTTAAACTTATAACGACGCAGGGAAATTTTAATTTTTTTAAATCCGAAATGTTAAGCGTCTTGGAGGAAATCTTCCTCTTTCAGTACAAAAGCTAAAATAAAAAATATCACAATCGCAAGGCGCCATTCTTTGGCTTCAGCGCTTTCAATAAATTAAAATAACATGTAACACATCTGCGCCCTGAAATTATGTGTGTATGCAACATAACGTTGGCCGAATACCACCGTAACGACGCAATTGCACTTGAACCGTTGTTTCCCGACTATTTCTTTATAACACGTTCAATGCAAGCGAGTCAAGGTCGAGGTGTACATTAGTTTTAATTGATATTTTTTAATTAATATCGCATTTTTAGACTTTTTGTTAAAAAAAATAAATACTAATGGTAATTTCGTGTAGTACACTATTGAACGTCTAATACAAGCGTGGTATTAGAGTACGTGTCATTTACTAGTAGTAGAGTAGTTTCTATTTTACGTTTTCTAATTGCAAATTTATTGAGTACAATTGTAAAAGTATGCTAATACTATATTAAAATGTCCTCTATGTACTTGAAACTAATCGTTTTTTTTTAAACCGTGAAACCGTGTTTATTGGATCCCATTAAACAATTGCTTAAAACGTATGAAAAACAAACAAGTGACTCGATGGTGTAAATGAGGGTCGGTTAGGTCAAACTTCAACTTGTTTCTTTAGTATTATGGTTTTATTTTGTGTTTATTTGTTCATAGGCTCGTCAACCAGATCAGAAATTATTCCAAAAAAAACTTAGACAAATATCTATAATGTGCTGACTTCATACTTCTTTTAAGTATTTAACGAGAAGAATGATATGGACGTTTGGAGTGAAGTGTAGTTCCTCATAGTTGGAATGAGTGTATATGTATGATGGAAATTTGGGAGTGGGACCATTAAAACAAAATAAAGGTCGAGATGGTATGGGCAGGCATGTTGGGGGCAGAAAATTGAATTAGTAAATAGGGTAAGAAAAAAATATAGATGTAGAGGTGATATAAGAGGATAAAGTGGGTAGATGTTACAAATAAAGGTGTAAAGATGTAGAATAAAACGTGGTGGATTGAGATTTGGCTGATCTGTTTCATTTTTATGGCGTATAGAAAACAAGATTTTTTAATGTCTGACATGTTTGTATTAAGATGAAGTATCCACTTTCAGGTATTTTAGCGTTTAGGTTTAAAATCTTGCGACAAATGTTGAAGAATGTATACTAAAATCATTTAAAAATAAAATCAGAAAATGATCAAATAAAAAATTACTTATACACAATATTACTATATTTTCGATTACGTTATTCGATTTGTTTCGATTGTTATTCGTTATTTAACTAAAATTTTCGTAACTCTTACAACAAGTTTCCTTTTGATCGCATTTTTCCTTGGCGTTTCTTTTAACTTTATGAGCGCAATGAACTCGTTGAATACTGTCGGACTCGAGTCATAACGTTTATGAACTTGTCGTAAAGGTAACTAAGGTTTCTTAAAATGGATATTAAAGCTGATGAATAATGTAGAATGTTTCGATGTGAACGCTAAACCATAATATACAAAGCCGGGTTTCCGCTTTTAGAGAATACCAGTTATGTAGCATCCTTTTTCCACAGTACAATTGTATCATCAGCTATCCAAACCCATTTGTTAGCATTCCATCGTATAATATCAACAAATGTCACAATTGCTATTGCATTTCGTTTTCAATAATACACATAGTATTTATAATTATAAATACTATGTGTGACTTATTAACCATAATAATTATAATCAATTAATACCAAACGTATGTTCATTTCTTACTTGTTGGCTTTTCCCAGTAGTTTCTTGATAGCTGCATAATTGTCGACACCCGGTAACCTCAGCATTTTGATACACAGCTCTGGTTCCCACTTAGTCAAGTAGTCACCGTCTTTTTTCATATCAGCCAGCAGTTTCGATCCACTCAGCTGTCTGTCTACTTTCGTGGCTTTGGTCTTGACGTGACCGGCCACTTTGGACCAGTTGTTCTTCGTGGTCATCTTGTGTTTCTATAACAACGTTAACGCAATCAGCATACACGGAAATAAGTATCAGCTTATGTATGTATTATTATATGTTAACATATAGGCCAAAAGGTTTTGAATAATAGTAATAATAATTTATAAACCTAACAGTTCACTCTCCATTTATTTTTTATACAGTTTAAACTCTAAAATCTAAAAAATATGACTTTTTTAGACTAAAGGCTGTGATTTCGGATTTATTGTTAATTTACTATCGAAATTATGATTATAATGTGCCAATATAATAATATATGATGTATGATAACTACAATAAAAATATAAAAATATAATTATCATAAAAATTCGTAAAAAAGTACCTTTAAACTGAACAACCGCTATATAGACTTCAGTATATATTGTGTTAGTAATATATTTAAAAAAATTAATATAACTATATTTTATATACAGCTAGGTGCACGCACAAATAGGACTATTTTAAACAATTCTTAGTATAATTCGATTCATCACAGTGACAAACGTTTATATAAGATATTAAAGATACATTTAACTTTTCTCTATTATCTTTATAATTATATATAATTATTTATTATTGATAAACTAATATATCCTATTATTGCTATTACTATTCTTATTGGTTATTTAAAACGTCATAATTCAATAGTAGAATAGCATAAGTTGATAGGTCAGTTTTTTACAAAAATTCTACAATTGTTTTGTTATTTCTTTAAATATTGTAAATGTTAAAATGTTTTCCTCATGATATCAGTAATTTAAACCCTAACCAAAACCGTTGAGAGAAATAAATACATATTATTGTTAAACATCAAACCAAACTATTTATTTTAATACATCAGCAAAGTGTATTTCAAAATATTAGGTTTCATATTAACTAATTAATTAATAAAGTAATCAGGACACAATAATACTTGGTCGTTTGGCAAATAACAATAGATAAATAAAACGGGCCAAGAAAATTAATTGTGTTACAATATACAATATTAAGTCTTGGTTAAGTTGAATGAATTACCTTGAAATTTGAAATATAGTTAGTTTTAACTTCAAATGATCATAAATTTAATACATTTTATAAACATTTATTTTATAGCTAATTAATGTAATTATAGTTTTTTGTTTTTTATTATTCAAATTTTAATAACTTTACTATTCCTATATTCTAATTTACTGTATTTGATCTACACAACATGTTTTACAAAATAAAATATAAAACTCATTTTCAATATTATTATTATTTTTTGTGGTAATTTGTGATGAATCATATTATCCGTTTCCTTCTTCTGAAATTGCATGTTAACTATTCTGAGTAGCAAATAGTAGCGTGACGACTGTATTTTTCTAGATTCATGGCCGTAGGGCGCAACGTATAATATTGGGATTTGGTTTAATTAGTATGCAAATAGATGGATGGATATTAAAATATTGTAGGTAAACACAACGGTAGGCGGGACTGTGAAAATACATTAATTCCAACCTCATAGTGTTGTGCAGTTCCTATAATGTATTAAAATCGGATACTGAGAGTTAATCTATACAGCCTGTAGTAGAAATATAATATCATGAAATTCGATCCATTTGTAACACTACAAAGAATACATTAACGAGCTCTGTTGGACGACAATTTTATCATTCTAATAAGCTCAACGTTTTTTCATTGCCCACAGTTGTAGTTAGCAACAGGAATAGATCAACTATATTTACACGTTAGTGTTATAACATAAATAATTGTACATTTTGCGGTTTTTATGTGGTTAATTATTGTGCCTATTTATGCATAAAGAGTAACAAAATATAATATGCAATGTCGCCGTTTAGTGCACGACATTGGTTCACAAACATTAATATTTGCACTAGTAATTATTACTATACTGTAAAAATACGTAGTTTTTTTTATTATTTATAACCTCGTCGAAGGTTACCTAAGTAGATGTCTTAAATTATGTTAATTATTCAATTAATACCGTAAAGTACATACCCAGGAATTCGTTGTATTAATAGCCGTTTGTTTATTATTGTAACAAACAAATAATGCTAATATTATATTATATACTCGTTTGCACGTTAAACTGGGCGATTTGAGTAAAAAGTAAGTTCACAATTATTAGTTGTATGGAGTGGGCGGCGCAATAAAATACCATAAATATGTCGATAGTTTCGTTTATTAGATCATTAATTAATTTTCGAATAATATTTTTGTACTTATCTACAGAAGTTAGCCTAAAATTAAACAACGAACACAGCGGTACGGAATTTATATTATGAATATGCCATTTAAAATCAACTCGAAGATTACGATTGCAAGCAGAGCAGTTTACGATAAAAAAAAAAAAAATTCAAGTGTAATTTTTTTGCAATACAAAAAATGGCATTGAATAAACACTTTAATGTCACAAACCTCTTATGATAATACAACTATGCATTTTTTTGTTCTCTTTTGTATTTGGCAATTAATTATATCGATGCACAGATTAATTATTGCGTTATCCAAAAGAACACCAGACATAGCTTAACCGACATTTGCAACCGAAAGACTCACAGCATTTTTTAAAAAGTACAAAACAGAACACAAAAATATAGATATTGATTTTTTTAATTTATGAAACAAATTTTATAGAATTAGAATTAGATAAATATTAAGCGTTCAAGGACTTAAATTTAATATTGTAAATTTTAAATACCGTATAATGGTCACGTTTGTGGTACCTACGTTTGTGTTTGAAAATAATATTTTTTTTTTACGCTTTAAAAGTCTAATTGCTTAGTTTGTTAAAAACTATAGATTTATTGCTTGTGACAATATATAAACGTTTTTTTGTAATATGTGCAATTATTTAGACATTAATAAACGATAAAAACAGGAGACGAAAGTCTAGATTCTCGAATGTTTTTTCTAGCGTTGTATGATAATAATAATTAACGACAATAAATATTAACGGTCGGTAAGTCGCCCGTGCAAGCATATGTGTAGATAATAACATAGATAGCCCGTCTACGGTAATAACAGTAATTACAACTCACCAATGATCCGACAGTAAAACAATAACAGTGGCAGATTTCGACAATCGACAATGGCGGATGTTGTAGAAATTAGACATTTACAATTTGAGATGAATAGTATAACACGGGCTGATGCTTCAGCAATATCGACTTGGAAAGTGAAGACAATGCTGACGACAATGTCGCATGGCGCGTTTGCGCTACTGTCGCGCGTTCGTCAATTAAAAAACTACTAACCGCAACGGAGTTGGCAATAAAAAACAATTTAGGAATAAAAAAAACCGACCGGTCGTTTATATGACCATAATAATATAATATATAATGATATTATATGTGCGTATTTAAGTCTGACGTGTGTGTGTGTGTGTGTGTGCTATACTAGGTGTTTATTATTCTGCGATTAGAGCTGTTAAAAGTTTCTATGGTCGCAGTAATACCGATTCGCTCACCACCACCCGACCGAGGCCGACGGTTTTACACGCGATGATGTGTATAATATAAATCTTTTCTACACAATATGCATCATAACACGGGTCGTACACATCAGATGCTGTTGGTACATTACTTTGCAGAGCCTCGTCAAGAGTGGGTAATAATACAATTGACTTACTGGAGAACGAGGCAAGACACATAATAGGGAGTGCGACGGATATAATAGACATCGATATCGATCGCGGTTTCACAACAAACTAACGCTTCCACCTTGTATACAGAGTAATTATTATTGTTATTTTACTTGAACGAGAAATGTGTACAATGCATAGTTATTTTTTTGGCAAATGTCAAGTCAAGTCAAACGGGCGGATCAAATGGAAACGTGTTTCGCAACTTTGTGAACCCACTTAGAAATAGCGTGTCGTCTATTGTTTCATTTTTCATGTTGTTAACAGATGGCATATCACGTCAAGATCGATAAAGCCGGCCAGAGGCGGACTGAGAACCGTGGTTGGTCCAGGGACATGCAAATGATATCGGCCTCTCACGTCAATCGTTTATTAAATATAGTTGGTGTATTATCAAATTAATATAATTTTAGTTACATTCGAATACAGATGGAATAAGGTGACTGTGAAATTTACTGTTTGAAAAAAATCCCTCCTCTTTATGGCAATTGTCTAGGACTCACCTAGTATAAAATGTAATCTCCCCTTAATCAGCCTTAGTAGATACAGTTTGTTCGGGGTAATTAACCACGAGGCCAGATTTACGCGTTTTAAAAATGGTTTTTCGTTGATTTTTCTAAGACAGTAATATTAACTCAGTATAAATAAGTAATTAAACCAAGACACAGTTTTTATTTTATTTTTATAATAATTTTTCGGAAGAATCTTTTTTCAAAATATCTCAGATAGAACACGTTTTATGTTAGAAGACTTAAAACCATGATTACTATGCAGAAAAATGGATTCAAAATCAAATTTGACTAGCAAATTAATATTTGTTGGTTTCTAGGGAGCTGTTATTGCATAGATATACTGTGTTTTGATTTTTAAAGATTTTTTTTTTTACAAGCTAAAAAGTTTTTAAGAAAATGTGGAGTGTAATCATATTACATCATCTTATTTTATCATGATGAGTATTTACTCACTGTATACTTCTCATGGTCTAAAGTTATTAGGTTCAACTGTATAATGGTTTCAAACAATGACTAATAGTTAATGAATCACCTATGGCTATGATATGGTATAACAGAATACCATTTTTATATAGGTATGTGTAAGAATCAAGCACGGTGACAGCGAAAAATCGCACCCAACCTTACCCAAAAAAACCAGGTAAGCATTTCTCATTTGGGAGATTAACCATCGAACGGGCAAACGACCAAATAAATAAAACGAAAAAAACCATCCAAACTATTATATTATCCAGCGTTTGAAGTGATTTAAAACATTCCACTACACGGTACACATCAAACCGGTTTATCACTGTCATAAATACCCTAAACAACTAGCTGTCACTTGTCAAGTGTATTTTTGGTAAATATAGTTGACAAAAATATGACCACAGAATAGACTATTCTATGATATGACTCTCGACAGCAGAGTGTTCATGATAGGTCCACTGTGTCAGAGTGTTCCTATTTTAGGCTGACCAGATACACTTTTTTCGAAAATATTTTGTTTAAACACAGCATAAGCGTTGAATAGTTTTCAGTGGGAGGAGAAGAATAACACTGTTTAATAACCAACGATTTTAACTAGAATTTATATCAATATAATTAATACAAAATGGAGTTGAAAAAAAGTTTTATTTTAGTCAAACTCTCTATTGAAAGTATAATAAAATAATCCAACGACCAGACCACCTCGGAGGTTTTTTTTGTAACGCCTCATCATATATAGAAATAGATGATTATTAAATAATAACGCGAGTGAACCCTTTATTATATGTTTTAGCTGACTCCCACTTTTTGCGCCCCACAATGCATAGTCTATTGAATATAACAACAATAATGACAAGATATCAACTAACTGTGCACACCATATTATAATATACGATTGCAGCTCATCTCGATTTCCAGCTGATATTATAATATAATAAAACATTTGTACTACGTTAAGAGGATGTAAGAGATCAAAAAAATACCCAAGTCATGTTGTTATGCTGACATTTTATTTAATTTATTGTTTGAAAACAGATTTAACTTTTATAAGTGAAAAATCAAGAGTCTATAGTTATTGGAAGAGTTATACCAATAACCATAAACTTGGATAAACTATTGAATCGTTACACTACAATTAGGCGCAAAATCATATTTCATATACAAATAATCTCCAGCAGTACAACTGTTATCTTTGGAAATCGCTAAGCGTTTAATTAAACATTAGCTAATAAACCGAACAATAACAGTACCTTTACAATGTAATATAAGCTGTATAGCAGAAGATGGAGTATGTAAAAATAAATAAGTTTACATTGTGTACTAAAGACCTTGAAACTCGATATATATTTTATAAATCCATCGATGATTATTGATTGCCGGTAAGTCCATACTTACATTTGTCGGGTAAAAATTAATATTATATTCTACAAACTTGAATATGTTATGAATAATAAAACGATTATAAGATATTAAACTGACATCTAAGGACTAAGGTTTCCGATTTATCATTAACCATGCGGTCACTGGAAGTTGACAGATGCATTTTGTAAATAAATCTTTAAAATCCTCGAGACCCACACTATACCTGAGCTAAACCTCATCTGTATAGAATGACTATAAAACTTATACCAAAATGGAATCCGACTGACCGCTGACACATAATTTTTGGTTAAGTCCTTGCCCCGGTTTGACGTTAAGTATTATACTAACCTTCCTTGTCAAGAAATTATCGATAATTTTTTTTGTTTTGGCGTGGGGCGAGAAATGACAATAGATGATTAATTTACATTTAGTCGTAATATTTTAATTTATTATTAGATACCTATTGTTTTCTTTTCAGTAGTTTGCAGTGTTCGGTATACCCAAATACAGTTAAGATATCAATACAAGTACATGTGCCGAAAAAATGGGGTGCAAGGGGTAATATACGCGAGAGTCTAGAGCTCTTCAATAATGTATGTATATACAATACAACACTTTATTGCTCTTAGTTTCAGCCCTAGCCCTTAGCTGAGAACAAGGGCACGTCATCAAGTAAAATATATTTAAATGTTTAAATATTTTTAATTCTATTCATTATTACTTATTAGTATCGAACATATTAACTGGAGAAACTGATTATAAAATATAATTGAACCTTATAAGAAAAGGTTGTTTTCTTGTAGTAAAACAAAATCATTTGCTCTGAAATTGTTTTCAACTTATGTCATACATACGTTCTAGATACACATAGTATTCTGGAAACTTAAGGCTTTTGTCATTTTCAATAATAGTACAGCAATAACAAACCAAATATAAATGTTAACATTTTACCATGGTCTATCGGTTATCCACAAAATCAGATTTTCAGGTACCTATCTAGTACAGTAATTAACAATAGTTGTGATCTGGCACACTGCCAAAAATATTCTTGTTTTGGATGCATACCAAGGACTTGAATAAGGAAAAAATAATTTTTAGTCTGAAAATTCTAGTATTTCAGCTAAAGGTAAAAATTGTTAAACGTGTTAATAAAATTAGTCTTATGTAAAAAGAACAGTAGGTATTGTTTAATAAATAATTACCTATTAAGTATGGTAAAAAGCGACGTTAACCGAAAGTTACAGCGACGTTTTATGGAATGAAAGCTTGAATTAAAATAATAATTTTCTTATAAAATAATTTTATTTACAACGAAGATATATTATGGAACTTGGTAACGAAAACCGGAATGCAAAATAGAAACATAATTACAACAATAATAATTACTTAACTCTTATGCTTAGTATAAATCGACAAGTATATTTAGTATAGTGTCCTAGGTCTTTTGGCATAATGAAAGTTTGAATAGAGTGCCTGTTCTTATCCCGGCATGACGGTGTCTTGGTTATCTATTTTTTTTTATAAAATGGTAACAATTAATTATTAAACTGTATTCACAATACACCATTTACTTGGCGGGAAGGAGACCTTGAGTGTTTTCGCGGCCTCTATTGCGAATATTTTTTTATGCTATGGGTAAACGTAAACCTATTTTCAATTGCCTAAACAAACATCCGCGTTCGCTTTCCGGCACTGTCAAACAAAAACCTTTTTATTCGCGATGTAATCAGTACATGATAGAGCAGAGGGCAAATAAAAAACCTGTCAATTAGCATAATAAAATTATACTGTACATTATCATTGAAACGGGCGTGGGCCTTCGCATGGAACTTTTTAGTATTTAATCTTGCGGAGACGGCAAAACTATTGTTGGACGTTATCGCGTGACGCACCGAGTCGATAGATACACAAGAATATTATATCAACCTATATAGTCGGTCTATTTTTTATTTTTTCTTACAAACCGAAAGCAAGACAATTAATAACATTGTTGTAGGCCGATTCGGATTTATCCGTGTGCGCCGTACCGTCTCGTCGAGTCATCCCCTTAGAGTCATTGCCTCCGTTTTGGCAAGATATGTAGGTATATACTGTATAATAAGCATAGAGTTGGTTTCTTATTCTACTCGACAATGACCTATAAGGTTTTGCGTGCGAAACGCGACAGGAAATCGACAGAACTGAGAACACAGAGGAGTTTCGAAAAATCACATGGCATGACCTACAGAAATCAGTTAAAAAAACCCATTTGGTCGTTGGACGGTGAAATAAAATTATACTGTAACAGGTAACTATATTATTGCGAATTGTAAAATATTATAGTATTATGTATATTAATTAGATTTCAGATGCAGTTAAAAACATGGATGTACATACATAACGAGTTGCCAATGAAAATATGTTTAACAAAATAACGGTAATCGAGGTATATATATATATATATATATATATATATACAATTGCATAAAATAGTGGCGCATTAACGAGTGCATTTAGAAATAAACATAATCTGTATTTATAAACATGAATATCTTCAAAAGGAGTTTTACAAAACTAGTACCCCACCAAAAAAAATATTTTTCAAATTTGTTTAATAGCGTATGTGGGTAAATATAAATATATACTATCCCTTAGGTCTTCAATAGTTTCACTCGCTAATTTTATTGCCTTAAAAAAATCTGTAACAGTACAGGTTTTCTTTATTTAATAATTTAATAAACTATATTGGCTACCTACCATTTTAGTTCCAAAGTTGATTATTGCTTTTGAAAATAACAATTTCTTTACTGTAGATGTACAATGTAATGCTATAATAGGTTCAATTTACTCAATACATTTTTACGGAGTGGGGTCTTAGAAATAAAAATACAAAATATGTGGTTGAGTTACTTGGTTAGGATATAAGATAATGTACTTCTTTTTTTAATTTTACTTGTTTAAAGCTCATGTTAATATATTTTTTTCATTCGCTATGTGCTCTAACTTGTAGGGTTGGCTAGAAAACATGTGTAAATCAATAGTAGACCTCATAGATAAGGTGCTTTCGAGTTTCGGGTGGTCTAAACAGAATTTTAATAAAATTTTTACGACTGTATTTATCAAAGAAAAACAACTGTCAATCCAGCTCAAAATCAGGCATCCAAGTTATAAAATGGTTTTTCATAAATATCATGACCATAATTCATAGTAAAGTTATACAATATATTGTGACACTAGTGACATTTTGAAGATTTCAAAGTATTTTTAAATAGGTAGAGGAAGTTTTAAAAATTAATCATTAGAAACTAATTGTCGATTCACGATTGTTAGAATTTAGAATTGGTTACAGTTCATAGCATTTAGGAAGGAACCAACGTAAAAATATGTAATTAATTTTTAATATTCCAAATAAAAATCTACTTTTAAGTTATAGGATTAGAGTAAGATAAATATTATAGGTACATACCAAACCCGGGAAGTGTATATATAGAAAATATTTCAACGGTCCATCCGTTAACGTCCGTCAAACGGTTGAGATTGAACAACGCGTGAATCCGACCTGGCACAACACAAATCACACAACAGTTTTGACACACTATAGTTTATATAATATAAAAACAACTATGTGCACACGACATACCGGTGTTATAACACGATTATTTTGTGGGATTTACCTATACACTGGCAACTAAAGATTTCCTGCGACAAGAAGGCCCGGTCGACTGAGGGCAAGGCATAGGTACCTATCATGTATAGTGTGGACTAGAGTACAGTGTGCGCGGTAACTCCAGGCGCGGTCGGGAAGCACCTGGTCTGCCGGTCCCAATAATGCGCTGTTCTACACAGGCGGCGTCACCGTGCCCGTGCAAATGACTGGCCTGCACCCAAGGCAACGGCGCTATTCACACCGAAATAATAAAAATATCAACAAAATATTATTATTATTACTAACGGTCAACCGACCAGAAAATAATAACATTGCCGGCTGATACTTCGCTTTTCTCGTTCATAAGTATTACCTAAATATTACTAATGTGTTATTCGAAATTCATAGGATTATACCGATCACACGGACAATACCCTGTACTCTGTAGGTACCTATAGGTATCTACCTACCATGTCTAATAGGACCATGTAATTAGAGTCGGCTGTTCAAACTCAAAAATTATAATATAATACAATAATAATTACAATACAAGAATGCGTTTTCCTGAATTATTTTTACAATAATAGACTTGAAGGGATAGGACAACCCACACCCTCTGTATTGATGGCTGATGGGTGCAGCCGAACTGACTAACTAAGGTTCATAGGTACTGAATCACCCAGGAGGCCCTGAACGTCTAGATCTTATTTTAATTGTGTATTTTTCATCTTTTTATATTCCTTAGCTACTTAATTACTACACTCTTAAAGCAGAGGTAGGCAGCGTTTCAAATTGAGTATTAAAATTACATTTTGTAGTTCAAATGAGGGATAGGAAAGTTCTTAAAAAAAGCAATCGGTTCGTCTTCACGTTTATCTTTTAAAAAAGAAAGTAAGTTAAGTTTTTGACTAGGTTTGACAAAATTAACTGGTTACTTTTTTCATTCCTACTAAAGAAGTAAGAACAAATTTCATTCCTCAATTTTATTTAAAAAAAAATTAAACGAAATAATTTGTAATTTAAGACTTAATTCCTAACCTACATCTAAAAATAACAAAATAAAAGTTAAAAAAAAGTTTCAGTTTCTTCTGAGGAAAAGCGTGCATTTTTTTCAACTTTTGACCAACAAATAGGAATTGACACAGTGGTTAAAAATGTATCCTAGGTCCAGACAAAAAAATGAAAAGTTATATAAACGTATCATTGAAAAATTCTCATTCAAAATTTAAAAAATTATTTTATTTTTTGCATTTAATATCTGAAAATATTAATTAATCTAACTTGTTGATTGCATAAAGTATAGCTATTACAAAATATAATATGAGTTATTGAAAACTCAAGATGCAAATATTAGGTCTTATTCTTTTATAAGTCATTTAAGGAACCAGAAATATTCACATTTCTCAGAGTTGTTGTAACTGCGGTTACTTAAACAAAATTAAATAGCTGTTGGTTTGAGAAAATAATTTTTTTTTATTAATCATCACATCATAAAAATTAATTAAGCTGACGCTAAACAAATATAAACATGTTAACTAATATTTACAAGGCCGAAAATAATGAATTCCACAGAATATTAGTGACTAAATACGACAAAAGAGTGACTTGAAACTTTTATAAAATAAGCATTAACGGCGTAAATAGAGAAGGTTTTGGCTTAGAACAGCTCCTAACCAAAAGTTTTACATAATATAATATTTTATAATAAGATATTTGTTTAAGAGCTCTTTCAATACAATGTTAATATTGCTAAACTTTTCAAAAAAAAAAAAAATATAATTTAATAAATACATTTTATTTATTAATATTACATTTTTTTTTACATTGCTTAAAACATTAGTATGAATACCTATTCATAATCTGTACATGACAAGTATGTACCTAAGTACCATTTAACAATTTTTAAAAATTAAGTAAAAAAATTATTTTTATAAAAAAAACAGGTATCTTACTAGATTTTACTTCATAGTAAGAACTAAGATGTTAATTTATGCATAAGTTCATACATCGATTTAAGGCTATATTTTAGGATTTTACAATAGTTAGATTTAATGGTTATATCTTTATAAAATGTAATTTCTTATACAAATAATTACCAATTAAACAATTATTTGTAGAACCATAATAAAACAAAAAAATAATTTCTCTTGACGATGTTCAATTTTATATAAGGAAATATTTTTACTACAAAATTTAACAAACATTACTGATATTGTACAATATATGTATTATTTACTTATTGAAATTTAAGTTTGAACTAGTAAAGTATAATTATATGTTTTAAAAATTTAACACATATTTTTCAGAATAATAATAAAAACATTTTACAGCCAATTTTACTATACAGAGTTTTACATAATTATATTTTGTCTTTTTTTAGTATTCATTAATAAGTAAAAAAAAACAATTTAGCGGTTAAAAATAGTCTACAATAAGACTTATACCATAATTAATGGCAATTTTTATATTTTAAAAACTATTACAACCGGGAGTAGATAAAATTGAAATTTGTGGTTTTCTGGTTTATTCAATTGACTTGTTTCCCTCTGTTAACAAATTTAAATTTTGTTAATTTTAAATTTCATATGAAGAAGGATGGTGTTAATTTTTAAAATACAAAATATCTTAACAAGCTATTACACGCTATACGAGAATGATTCCGACTACAAAGAATAATTATTACACATTACATTTTAATATTATAATTAATACTACTAAAATGACTGATCAGTATATAATAGTTAAACTAGTTAAACACATATTGCCTACTCATAGTAAACATTGACTAGATTTGATCAATCGCCTTTAAGCTCGTTTTGTTTTTCTTCCATAATCCTCTGTGATTCTATCACATACATGTCAGCCAACATAGTAATCTAGTTAAACAAAATATGCTATTATTAGTTTTAAATGACTTTATAAAAATAATACTAAGCTTTGGCACTTACCTGATCTTTTAGATTATGTACCAAATCCTCAGATAACGAATCATTATCTTTTAATAATTTTATATTTTTATTTTGAATTTCTTTAATGGAATCTTTACATTTGACGAAAAGAGCTTTTGCGCCTTTGCTCAAGTTTTCTCGGTGCTCTTTGGTAACTCTAATAAAATTATTATTCAAAATTAGTTTACTTTAATAATATTTCAACAAGACTGGAATTATACACACTATTAAGTTTACACTATTCACACTATTAAGCTCATATTTTTTTGTTAAATCATATAATAAATAATATGTATTTGATTAATAATAAAAAAATCACTTTTCTTAATACCAAAAATAATAATAATAACTCAAACTATACACATAACTCCAGTCTTTATAAATAATTGTTTCAAAATTACTTTGGTATGGGTATAAATATAGAAGTTTTTTCCTGTTGAGGATTCAAATTCATACCAGAATTTTTTAATGATTCCAGAACAGCTGGAATAGCTAATGGAAATGATGACATATTTAAAATAATAGTTTTGGGGTTTTTTCTTACAATTTGGGCCAAGTCTTGAACAACATATTCATCGCCTTCAAATATAACTGGCAAAGATTCTAAGGCACCTATTAACAGTAGAAATAAATTTTGATTAGAGCTATGTATTTCATAATACAAGGATATAATAAAATCTAGTATGATTACATATTATATGTATTATTGTACTATCATAGTTTAACGAGTTAAATTTATTCATTAAAAATATGTCCCAATTTAGTGTCATTAATAACAAATGTATTAGATGATCATATTATGATTATATTTTTAAGACTGGTAAAATACTAAAAAAAATAGTAGATTGCTAAACTACTATTGCTCTAACACTGAGCTAATCGGTATATTTCCTTTCAGTGTCAGAGCACCTTTTAAGCTAAAGTTGATAAAAAATATTACCAAAATAGTTAATAATAATTCAATATAATGAATACCTGTTGATGATCTTAAGGATAGATTTTTAATGTAGTTGTTTTTTAAATTTACAACAGCCTTTTCCATTTCGGACTTCATGTTGTTGAATTTCAAATACTGAGACAGAAGATTTTCATCAATAGAAACTTTTTTTTGACCTAAAATTACAATAATAAAAATAAAAATAATACACATTAATTACATATTTTTTAACTAAAATGAAAACATGAAATAAAAATCATCATGATAGTTCCTATCGTTAATCGTTATTATGAACCATTTCAATATTCAAAAATGAAATAGACATTATTATTACATGTTTAATTTTAAGTATGAACTATAAATTACGTTACATCCAACATTTCTTAAAACAGTTAGCTATTAAAATTAAAGGAATTCGCTAATAAACATATAGCTTATTACATTTTTAGTAATATTATTACACTTTTCTATAATTTGTATACACAGTTATAGAAGTGTACTGTAAAACAACATAACTTTTACAAATTAAAAAATTATGGATGATTCAACATCAGAAACTATTGTTCTATTCAATTTTCACCAATTTTAATAAATCTGTTCTGTTTATATATAAGTAACATCATAGTTCTATTGGGTATTTGGTGTTTATGGAACTACTAACTGACTTGAACGTATTGCATCAAAATGTTGCACGCTTTTCTACCTAATGCCTTTAAAGTCTCAAGGTACATAAAATGAGTTTTTGTAAACCAATTTGGTAGTTAACCTATTATATTGTAAAAACAACAACAGATATCTTTAATTTTAATGGGACTCGTAACACAATGAAGTGTACTCTTAACGGATACAATCATCAACCTAGAGTAAAAAGGTTAGTTTCTCTAACAGACTCATATGTACCTTTATCTTTTTTCTTGTCTTTGCCTTTGGCATAATTTCGAACAGACCCAAGTGCACAACAGTTGTGCGACACAAATTTGGCGGACAGCAAAGACGGTGAAGGACACAGTCGTCTCCCATTTAGGTTATTGTATTGACGAACAGCACAATACGTGTACCGTCGGCATGGCGGTAGTGCACAGTTCAGGTTACGACCTAATGCACTTGTAATTTTGTACATTTTCAGCTGCTGCCGTTGCAGGTGCACTTGACACTTGATACAATGACAAACGCTGTTTAGGCGTTTACGGTAGACGGTGGTGTAAGCGGCAATAATAATATTTTATTTGAATAGTGAACAAATATCGTTATCTGATAACAGCCTGGAGGTGAACCGCCGAGCAACCGCAGCGGCCGCTGATGGGTCCGGTATAAACCGCGGTGATAGCGCGCCCGTGATAAAACTGATATTAAAATTAAAAAAATCGATTTATAAAAAATGTACAAAACTGATCACGCCGTCGTTGAAACCGAACGGCGACGGTGAGTATGATTTTAAATGACAACTTTTATTCCATTTGGCACGTTTGACGAATTCTATAGCATTCGGTCCGATTGCCAATACCGCCGTCTTACCGCTTCACCGGTCAACAATCGATGTCCGCTCAAGCTCGCGTTTCGCTATTTGGCAACGTCGCGGCAGTGTTGCCAGGCTGTCGAGTTAAACAAAAAAAGTCAATGCTCTCGTCTGACGTATAGTCTCCGGTCTCTCTCCTGTTGTATGCGTGAATTTTACAAGTCCAAATCGTCATCGTTCATTACTGCTGGGCTGCTACAGCGGCTCCGACTGTGTTTTCCACGTCGTTAGACCAGTTATGTGTGACCGTCTTCGTAAAATATTGTAGTTAATATCAATTTTCTTCGTGATCATAGTTGTACAGGTTCGATTAACGTGCTGTCGGTATTCTATTCCATTATTATTGACAAATATTTTCGTGCAAACTTCATCTCGTCACACAGTACACAATCGTCTGGTTCGACTGCAGTAAACGTTGGAAGTGTCCACAGCCCATCGCAAACACGGCTAACAGCTTTGCGTCCACGTGAAATAAAACATGGCCGGTAACGTTATACATAGTTCATTTATTAAACATTATTTTTAGTGGGTCCCTATCGCCCTAAAAAGTGCATTGCCCATTTCGGTTTTTGTATATTATCTTTTATTGCAAGAAGTTTGACGTGTCGGCTTCCGTTAATCGCCAAAAATCGTTGGAATAGGCATACTTCGGTGTGTTAAATCGCCACATCTTCATAAATAAATTGTTTATTTTGTGTGTTGGTCAAATGACAAAGCATTCCAAATAGTTAGCGATTTTTTTATTATCTACAAACTTTTAGGGAGATCGGCAAAACACGATTTTTAGGTTAAGTTTCTGAGTAGGTTATAGATTGTGATTTGTGTAAAAACCAGCAGGTTGCCTAGTAGAGAAAGTAACTGAATCAAATTAGGTAATTATGTTCTACGATAGTGGAATCGTAGCATACATAAGTAATTTAAAGAGTCTTGTTTATTTTTACTTTTGTGATATTCGACACAGATAGGTAAATAATTGTAGATTTTCCTACCTATAGTATGTCAAATCATAAATTTTCCACTTGGTATGGTCATGTCGCTTCCAGGTGGAGGACATATTAATTTGGTTACTTTATTCACTGAGACAGTTTTATCTAAAGTAGAAATGAAATCATCCATGTTTTTGTCATTTTCATCCACGATTTATCACTACGGAAAAGTCTAATTAAAAATATACGTCTAATGCGTGACGCTGTAGTCATCGAGTATGCTATTCTACATTAGTATTGGTCCTCTTGATCCTCTATCTAGTCCTGACATGAATACTTCGTAGTTTTTTTTTTTTTAATTGTACATTAAGATAGAGTAGTTAATGTAGGTAGGTACTATGTTATTAAAATATAATTGTTAAAATTAAAAAATAATTCTGCTTAGAATACGGGGTTTTATCTCCTTTAAATGTTCCTTTATCGTCAAAGTCATTTGTTTTCTATAATAAAATATTATGTTGATGTAAACGGCAAAATAGGGTTTTTTTTTCCTTTCGATTAATCGGGCAAAGTTTTATCGACTATGGTATAACCTATTTATGATATGTTCCCCCTTAATTTTGTTTATAAAAAAAATGACATATGAGATAAGCACTAAAACTTGTCACTCCTGGCTGTGCATTTGTATACGAGAGTAAATGCCTTTTGGTTTCTGCCCACTACCTTATATCGATGCCCCGTACAAAAAGTAGCATGGTTCACAGATTCTTACGAAAAGTAGCACCATTCAAGTTCTTACAAAGACTAGCACTGAAAACTATTGGTGCCAACGGTGCTAGTTTTCGTAAGAAATTAGCGAATGGTGCTACTTTTTGTTAGGTCATCGCCAACGGTGCTAGTTTTCGCTAGAACTTGAACGGTGCTACTTTTCGTACGTGTCGATAAGGAGTATAGTAGATCGTTTGTAAAATTAGTAATCTTCAAATTCATTATAAATATATTACTTTAATAATAAGCATATTTACTATTATATTATTTTAATGCTATGTTAATCGTGTCATCGCTTATGACTGTATGTATATTTCCTTCTTATTGTACATAAATTGCTGTGTTAAGCACTAAGTAAATATTACTTATTTCATCATGTAGCTTAACGGGCCATGAAAGCCCAACGCTGCCATCATGAGATGGTTTCTTGACGAATTCGCTTCCAGGACGGGTCGTCAATCTGTCATCGGAGAGGGGGATGGCGGTTCCTTTTCACCGGACGATTGCCCGCCCAGCAAACGGATCACCTGTGACCGAGTGTTGAACCGGCCGCCACACTGCCGCCTTACCTACTCCTTAAATGTTACTTATTTAATATTATCAATATAATTGGTGACCCAATTATTGGAAAGTTCATCTTTTTAAATAGACAGCTATTTATATAACATATTTATTTATTTATAAATTAGGTATTTGTTAAAATTTGGTCTTGAATATTATGTTATATTACACATTTTGTTAGGTATAACAAACTACATTATAAAGTAAATTTGTTTGTAAATAAGTATATACATTGTTAGAAATATTTATTGTTCATTTGTTATTATTATTTTTGATTTGATTGATTAATTTTTTTTTCTTTCTACAGAAGATCGAGAGTCCGGTGATCGAAAACATGAGAAGTCAAAGAAGCGTGATAGGGTTAGTTATTAAAATTATTTTATAACTGTTAGTCTTTTAATTTCTTATACGATTGCATTTTTTTTTGTAATCACTAATCATGTCAGTACTAACATTATGTTTTGGGAATTGTGGAATACAACTTGCCTACTCTTTTTATTCTAATATTTTTAACGACAATAACATATCCGATCCTTTATTATCAAGTGAATTTAATGAAGAGTATAAAAATGCCAGTGAATCAATGTTTTTTGAAAAAAAACCCAATCAGTATTTTGAGCCTAGATCAATTTTAGTTGACATGACTGAGAGTAATGTTGGAGACGTGTTTAGTCGACCTAAAAATCATCATTGGGGATTTAACCCAAATTCTTTTGTGTTTAATACTGTTGAAGGACCAACTAACAACTGGTCTTATTATTATTATATAAAAGGTCCAGAAATGTACGAAGATGTTTCAAATAGGCTAAGATTAGAAATAGATAAAATAGATGTAATTATTAATTCTCTTTTGATCATATTATCTCCATCTGGTGGTTGTGCTGGCACTGCATGTTATATTATTGAAAAATTAAGAGCAGATTATCCTAAAATTTCTTTCATTATTGTTTTTGTTCGTCTGTATGAGACTAAAGACGCCATTCAAAATTATAACACTTTATTTTCAATGAGTAAACTGCACAATTTATCAGAATGTATTTTTTTATTAGAAAATTCACTTTTGTACAAAGTTTCACAAGCGGGACCTTTTGAAATCAATATCTCTGTGGACGATTTAAATCAATTAGGTAGTAAACAACTTGCTTCTATTTTTCAACCAGTAGAAAATCAACATTTTTCCTATTTCTTGTCACTTGTACTGGATGACAAATATAAATTATTGAAAATGATATCATCTCCTAATAACAGAAAAGAATTTTCTTTGTATGAATCGGCACCCAGATGGGAAGCAATTATAAATCAAACCATACGTTCCATGAGTGTCACATCGTGTATGTCTCTTGGAAATTATATTGTGTATCGTGGTAGTGCTAATGAAAATGTAACAAAATTATTTAATTTTGAAAAATTAAAAACTATATCATTTCCTAAAACAACATTGGAAGAGTCCAAATATTCTCAGTTATATCAAAATAGACATTTTTTGGGTTCTAAATATTTAAGTGTTTTATCCAACAGTTCAGCTAGTGTTAATTCGTTAAATAACGTTTTGAAATTAGCTAACCGGGCATTTCTACATAAAGCATTCATTCATCATTACAGTCAATATAATACGAGTAGTAGTGCTTTCCAAAATGCATTTTCAATTACTGACAAAATAGTTAAAGACTATTATAAGTTAGAGTAAAGATATAATTAACAGTAGAGCTGTGCGATTTTTTAAATTTAATTATATTAATTACTCGAGTTGAAAATTTTTTTTTGTTTTTAAAGTTTGATTAATCAAAAACTAATCTACTTATCATAGTATAATAAATACATTACATTACAATTATTGATTACCCTAGTTTTTACACCTGATATCAACTGATTTGTTAATAATCAATAAATCAACTTTTACAATAATATTGACTAAATAAATAATCAAAAAATCAATAAATTTACTGTTGATTTATTTATCTAATATGTAAAAATGTATTAACTAATTATTTAATGATAAATTAATCGTCTGATTATCTGATTTTCCAATTGAAAACTTGCCTAATTCACAATCTATCAGATAAAAAATAATCGCACAGTCTTAATTAATTATATATTTTGTACTTGGATTTTTTTTATTACATAACTATTCTAAAAGTTAATAAATAATATATTTTTCTAGTCAAACAAATATTAGTATAGTTCCTACAAGCATTTCCTATTTTTAATAATTTTTTGTTTAGTTTTTTTCAATAGTATTAAGTATATTTTTCAATTTATAACATGTCCAACTATTTATTTATTTTAACAATATAATTTAAAATTAGTTATAAGAATGTGTGTGTTCTTGTTGGAATTTTCAATTGTCATAAACTGAGTGCCATATTAACAAATAAATTATGTTTTGAATTTTAAACATAACAAACTCTATTGTTTGGTTTGTTTTTTTTTCAACCTTGCTTATATTTTAAACGTTGCGTGGTATTTTTTATATTTTTTTTATTCAATTTTGCTTGAAGAATGATATTGGTTATTATGAGTTTTCTGTTTTATATACTAATGTACAACTGCTTAACTGTTATTACTAAATATCTATTAAGTTCATCAGTAATAAATTAGACTCAGTATTGATTCTAATACTAAATATTTAATATATAATGTACTAAACTATGTAGCATAATATCGGAAATAAAACGACTTCACTGAGTTCTAAAATAATTCACCAAGGATCAATATTTTAATTTGAAACTTACCATTAAGATTTAATACTATTAGTATATATAGAATAAAACTTACGCCTATTCAACTAAATTAATGTTACTTCATTTTACTGCACACATTCATTTTGGTTAAATGTAATTGTTTTCATGTATACATTAATAAACAATTTTTGTGTCATTGTAAGTGCTTTTACTTAATGTTTTTTTCTTTATTCATTGTCGTAAAATCATTTCAGTTATTTTATTTTGAGTGATTCATGACAATCCAGTTGTACACCGATCAAGTTGAATAGGTGTACATAAAGTTTTAAAAAAAAAACCAAAAGGTAAACTGATTTCAATAACGTTTACACAAGGCCTTGTTTTGTCTATCACTATTAGCTATTCTTAGATTTAATTTTAATAATATTTATTTTAAATATTTCTTAAATAAACGATTTATTGCTGATAAATTTAAAATTAAGTTTGATATTATCATGAAATTAAATGATTGATAAAATGGGCCTAATCAATTTCAGAATATTACTCTCTAATCACTTTGCTTTGGTTTTTCTACAGGAACATGAAAAAAATGGTGTTGGGAAGAAAGAAGTCAAACGCGAATTCAAAGATAAACATTTTGATTCTGGCTATCATTCCCAAATCAAGAGAGAATACGAGTTAGAAAACAGCATCAAAGAGGAAAATTATTCCGATGATGGAGAAGAATCTTTGTCTAATAGTATCAGAAAATCAAGTGATGACTATTATCCTGTCAAGAGGGAACCAGAATCTGAAGACGACGTACCATTATCCAGTCGGAAAAGGAAGCGTTCTGCTAGCAGTGAGGATGACGTTCCACTGAGTGATCGATCAAAGCATATTAAAAGAGAACACAGTAGTCATAAAAAGCATAAAAAAGATAAGGAACACAAAAGCAAACATAAAGAAAAGGATAGGAATCATTCTTCCTCCAAAGAGTCTAAACATAAGGTGAAAAAGGAAAATAATACATCACAAAAAGAAACACCTGTCAAAAGTTCGTCAAAAAAAAAGAAAGAAGAAGAACAGGAAGTTTGGAAATGGTGGGAAGAAGAAAAAAAAAATGATGGTGTAAAATGGAGATTCTTGGAGCACAAAGGACCCGTGTTTGCTCCCGATTACGAGCCTTTACCGAGCAACGTAAAATTTTACTATGACGGTAAACACGTTGTCCTGTCTGAATCTGCAGAAGAAGTAGCAACATTCTATGCAAAAATGATTGAACACGACTATACGACAAAAGACATTTTTAATAAGAACTTTCTTAAAGATTGGCGTAAATCAATGACACCCAAAGAGAAAGAATTAATCAATGATTTATCCAAGTGCAATTTCAAAGAAATGTACAAGTATTTCACCCAAAAATCGGAAGAAAGAAAAGCCATGAGCAAAGAAGAAAAAAAGAAAATTAAAGAAGAGAACGAAGCTCTTCAAAAAGAATATGGATTTTGTACTATCGATGGACACAAAGAAAAAATTGGTAATTTTAAAATTGAACCACCGGGTTTGTTCAGAGGACGAGGTGAACATCCTAAAATGGGAATGTTGAAAAAAAGGGTTGTACCCGAAGACGTTCTAATCAATTGTAGTCAAGACTCTAATATTCCTAAACCTCCTCCTGGTCACAGATGGAAGGAAGTTAAACACGACCCAAGCGTCACATGGCTTGCCAGTTGGATAGAAAATGTTCAAGGGCAAGTTAAATATGTCATGTTGAATCCTTCATCAAAACTGAAGGGAGAAAAAGATTGGCAGAAATACGAAACTGCCAGGAAACTAGCAAAATCAATAGACAAAATAAGAGAAAACTATATTAAAGATTGGAAATCTAGGGAAATGCACGTCAGGCAACGATCGGTTGCTTTGTATTTCATTGATAAATTGGCGTTGAGAGCCGGAAACGAAAAAGACGAAGATCAAGCAGATACCGTTGGCTGTTGTTCTTTACGTGTTGAGCATATCCAGCTACACGAAGAGCATAATGGAAAGGAATACGTGGTTGTGTTTGATTTCCTCGGAAAGGATTCAATAAGATATTACAATGAAGTGCCTGTTGAAAAACGGGTATTTAAAAATTTAAAGATTTTCATGGAAAACAAAAAAGGCAATGATGATCTTTTTGATCGTTTGAATACGTCAATATTGAACCAACACTTACACGAACTGATGGACGGACTTACAGCCAAAGTGTTCCGTACTTTCAATGCTTCTTGGACACTTCAACAGCAATTGGACAAACTAACAGATCCAAATGTGTCTGTGGCTGAGAAAATATTGCAATACAACCGTGCCAATCGAGCTGTGGCTATACTGTGTAACCATCAACGTGCAGTGCCGAAAACTCATGAAAAATCGATGGGCAATCTTAAAGAAAAAATTCAAACTAAAAGAACTCAAGTGAAGGATGCTAAAGATGCGTATAAGCAAGCCAAACGAGACGCTAAAGACGGTAGCGTGCATTCAAAAACTCAACTAGAAAAAAAGAAAAAGGCATTAGAACGATTGAAAGAACAGTTGGTAAAGCTGGAGGTTCAAGAGACTGACAAGGAAGAAAACAAGACGATTGCTTTGGGCACGTCCAAATTGAATTATTTGGATCCGCGTATTTCGGTCGCCTGGTGTAAGAAATATGATGTTCCTATTGAGAAAATTTACAATAAAACGCAGCGAGACAAATTCAGATGGGCCATTGATATGGCGGGACCAGATTATGTGTTTTAATATTGAATGAAAATTGAGAATTGTCTATAGTAACAATTAAACTGTAATTTTTTTTTACTTTAAGTATCTTTTTTTCCTAATTTTTTTTTTTTTTTTTACTATATTTCGCGTGATAAAAATGAGCATACATATAACTATTGGGACGACCAATTTTTATTTTGCGCCGCTTTTATCATTGCAAATGTGTTTTAGAAAACCAGCAGTGACTTAATTGAAACCTTTATATTATTATATATATATTCAAATATTTTTTTTTTACAATTATTCTTTCAATTCATTTTTTTTATTTCCTGTAGTGTCCGTTATAAACAAATATACATTTGTAAGCATGTTTGTTATGTGCTAGGCCTTTTTTTCTACCAGCTTTTTCTGATTGTAAATGTTGTGATAATGTTTTTTTAAAATACGTTAATAGTATTTTGTACAGAAAAAAAAAATTAAGAAAACCATCATTATCATTTTAAGTATGATCCGACTTAAAAAATTTGTTAGCTAATAATACATAATTAAAATTCAATGTTTTTTACCAATCAGACATTTGTGAAAACAGTTGTAGTTCCATACATATATAGAATTCTTTGTTAGTCGAAATTTTGTGATTGCTATAATTATCATCATTGAAGCAATTTTTAAAACAATTCAGAACTTATATAGTTAATAAATTTTAAACTTGATTTTATGAAGTATTTTTTTGTAAACAATGTTTAGTAAAAAAAAAATCTGTAATTATTTACATATACATATATATATATATATACACACATATATATATATATATATAGATATATACATATATAAACTAATTGTATTAAAAAAAAATGATACTACATTTTATTTATTATTTTTAAGGTTAATACTGTAATAATTAATTTAAAAAAAAAAATAATGTCAATAACAAGTTATTGTATATTTACATTAAAATTATGGACGTTTAGTCATCGAGTGTGCAGTATAATGTTAAGTAAAAAAATTGATTCTTTGTATAAAATTTATATTGATTAAATTCGCTAGTTTGTACTAATGGATTAATTTTTAATTCTAGACGAAGTTCAAATGTAATGTATTTATTTAGACACATTGTTTATTATCAGCATACCTACCTAATGTCTATCCAATATCCATACTTCCTTACATTAAGCTTCTTAATTAGTGTCGGTGGATTAGCAATATTGATGCTAGCTTAAGGTCATACTATTATATGTATATGTACATGTTATCTATACTGAGCTCCTTAATAAACGATCAATAACTTAGAAACTATTATAATATATTAGAATAAATATTTGACTGTTTACAGGAATAAGAAAAACTATGTAAATGATTTTTAAACAAAATAAATACTATTGATGTACATGTCACGATGTACCTATTATAGTTTGGTATTTTTTAAAGCTGTCATTGATTTACACTTGTAAGGCACTAATTATGGTTACAGTACATTCAAGTATTATTGCAATGACAAAATGAGTGTGAATACTTGGTGCATGGTTTTTACCACTTCAATTATGTAAAAAAAAAATATATGTTTGTTAAATTACTACATAGTGAAGTTTGTGTCCATTACAATTGTTTTATATAATTAAAATTTCAAATGTCAAGAATTTTATGCGTTGTAATGTATGTATTATTATTATTATTAAGCTATTATAACCCCTGGATGAGCTGAACCGTAAATTGGGTACTTGGGTACCTACCTAAAATTCAAATACCGCAATAGCGCATATTTGTATACACACAATTATGTTTATGCCCAATTTTATTATTGTTGTACCTATTCATTTCTGTGCTCAAGTACACTGATTACTGATGAGTAATGATAATATTATAATACAACAATTTGAATGTTCGATAAATAATTATAAGTGTAATAATTTACAGACGAATGTGTCATGTTTGCTGAGTAAATTATATACAATAACGCACTGAACAATTTCAAATAGAAAGCTTATCCTATTATTTCAAAATCCTGATGCCAGATAGATCCACAGCTTATATAATATATTAACTACATAGGTACTATATGTGCGTTTTGTCAAAATTTCATTTGAATAATAACAATGTACGACAAAATTTTATCTTTTTTTTGGGAGTAAAAGAACTAAAAAACCTAATATATTATTTATTAGGATATTTTCCACTATATCCGAATATAGTCTCATAATTTTTCTACCGCGTTCAATTTGTTATTTAAATCGCTTCTAAAGTTAATGGAAAAATGATGCGAATTCATAATTAATTTTTAAACTAGTACTATACCAAAACAAAAAATATGATAAAAGAACTAGGTATTTGATGTACATTTTAGAGAATTATTCGAGTATTCAAAACACGCTGTGTACCTCAAAACTGTATTTTTTACGATTTCAAAAATTACGTTCTATAGAAATATTGTCAAGCCAGATTCGGACTCATAAAAAAAACAAAACTATTTGGGTTTTTGTTCTTAGGTCATGTTGTAAAATTGTATTACAAAATATAATAATAATAAAAAAACAAATATCTAGATGTCAATAAGTGACTCCCGGATAATATTTGTATAATCCAAAAATCCGGGTTTTATCCGTTTCTACTATACAGTTAATTAAATCCGAATTTTAGTCTCGTCCCTAATTTCTAGTAGGTTTTTGTTCCCTGTGATTTTATTGAAATTTTATGTTGCAAGTAGAATTCAATAATTAAATAAATCAAAAGTAATAAAGGTTTTTCTTGTTTGATGTTTTTGTTTTAGTAGGTATTAATAGTTTAAATTTTCAGTCTCTCCTAAATATTTTCCTACGAGCCGCCACTGGATTGTCAACAACATCTTTTTCCAGTCTAATAATTAGATTCCACTATGTCTCGATATGGCCTACTCATAATGATAGACCCTGCGTTATATTTGCGCTGTTTTATGTTTATATATTTTAAATTACCATTTACCAATTATTGTATAGCATTTATATATTTTGTACTACTAGGACGCGAAACCAAAGTTAGGAGGAACCGAAATCTAAGTGTTGGAGAATCCAATATTACTTTGCTTTAACCCGTTGCGCATTAAGTCCACCTGCACGGACACAGTGATGGATCGGACGGGGTTTAATTAACGACTCGTTCCCTCACAACCGCAATGTTACTATTTTATATTGTTATAGGCGTCAACGTATAATTTTTTATTTTATGTAATTGTTTCTCTTCGACTTGAAACTTACTAATTTGTTTTACCTATATTATAGGTGTATAATGCTAATAATAAGTAATAACCTTCATGTGGTGTTAATATATAAACATTTAAGCCTTCGCTTCGGTTTATTGTCGAAGTAGGTGTGTTCACTGTTTATTGTAAACACATTTGTTGCGGTCATAAGTTACTGCGATGGCGCCACACACAGTAACTTTAACTGAGTTCAATGTGTGTTAAATAATAAACGCAATGTTACTTGCCGTTCTGACTTCTGGTAGAGCTTGATAATGATTTCGTTTATTAAAAAAAAAAAATAGTACTTTGTTGTCAATATCTAAATAGCCGAGCTCACGACAGAAATTCGTGCTTCAACCCTGCTCTTATCGAGCACAACCGACCGACCGAAGCACTAAACTATTTTACTTTTTAAACATTTTTTGTTATTATTTTTGTGATTTTTCTTTTTTAAGAGCTATTTTATTGATAATAATTTATTATTATAATAAATAATAATTATTTGCTGAGGATTTTGACTGGTCGACAACTAGTTTTAGATAATTACTTTTAAACTTATTTAAGTTGAAGTGTTGAAGAGTGAGTAGCGAAGTGCGGTAGAGACAGTCCGTAGAGTAATGCGTGCAGTTAAAAATAAATATATACTGCACAGTCTGCACTCCACCTCCCACCCTACCATTTAATCTTTAATAACTTAAAAAGTAATAATCCAAAACTGGTTGTCGATCAGTCAACATTTTCAGCAAATTATTCTCAATAGAATTACTATCTTGAATTTCAAAAAAAATAAAAAAAGAATTTAAAATTAATTATTAAGTTGAATATTTTATTAGATAATATAATGAAGTTAACTCACTTACTTTTTTATATGTTTAAATAAATAAAAATTTTAGTATAATTTCAAATTACTATTTATAAATTATTATAAAACTGCATTTTTTAAATTGAAGGATTCCCCTTCCCTTCAATTTATCAAATGCACATTTATAATACCATAATTTAAATTGTTGCATTCTATACTATTACCTACACTAAAATATTATAAATACATTTTTTATTAAAAAATAACTATATAGTTTTACAGAAAATCCATAAATTGTATAATTACATGAATATACCTACTAGGTAATTATAAAAATTAATTGCGTTTGTAAAGTTTTTTAATCTTTGAAAATTGTATTATTATAATTATTATTATTTGTACTAGTAAAATATAAAATTAAATTTACTTAAGTATAGGTACTATTTTAATTCTTTATTTATTTTTAAAACTAATATTTACTAAATTAAGAAAAATCATTACTTGCGAGGCAATCCTGTGTTTGAAGTGCAGATATTTAGTTTTTAAAACAAGTAATTAACAAATCAAATTATGAAATAAATTACTTTGGTTAATTCAAAAACTCGCGTTAGGACTGGATAAAAAATGAAATAATTGTATTTGTTATTATAATATGATCAAAAACTTTTTTCATTTTATGTTATTCAACATACTATTATAAAAAAAAAATGATAATTTACTTCAATATTAAGTTTGAGGTAAAATAAAGGATGAAACAAATATTTGGACTGTTTTCGTTGCCTGTTAATTTTTTCGATAGGTTTCTACTTTCTACAAACTTTCCTGTTCTCCGTTTAACGATAAACTGTATTTTATGAACAATTTATAAACCCATAGTTAGTGTAGTATTGTTTTAACATTTTGATCTAAAGTAGTTACCACCAGACTAATGTAAACAACAATTATGCCACAACTTTTATTAATTAACTACCCAACCCATAGGTTTAAGTTTCCTATTTTTATTTATACATTTATTTAGTATATCAACACCGTGTACAGTATATTGTGTGACACAACGATTTCTTATCACTTGGTAAGAAACACGTCCAGCACGGCCAGTAGTATTATTATAATAATACTGATTGTCTGCAATGACGGGATTGCGTCGTCGGTCATTATTACCTGTACAAAACTGCTGTAGAAAAAGTCTGGACCCACTCCTTACCATACATAATGGGCGTGTGTTGTAAATGGTCATTATTATTGATTGCATGTATAAAAATCCTATAGGAAGTTTCGAACCGTTGATCTTTGGTTGTGATACTAAAGCATAGTAACGCGCAATTAGCTTCCCAAAAAGAGTGTTTTTAAAAACAAATTTTCAAATGACAATCAAAGCTATTGATTTAATATAATTGTGATTTTTTTTTTAAATCCTAGTTCAGTTATTAATTTACATATTTATTAAAAGCCGAACAAAATTATCTGTTTTGAATATATCTAAAAATGCTTCTGAATGGAACACTAACATTGATTGCGTCAATGTAAAAATATAATATTGTTTTGCAATTTTAGAGTATGGAAAAAATATACACTTTATTGGTATGTAGATTAAACGGGTATCAATGTGTAACTGATTAAATTGTATAAGCAAACACATTTTAATTACATGATTGGTTTATTCGTAGTAATTCGTCCATTTGCCATCGATCCAAAAGCTTTTGTTGTTGAACGATTTTATAAAGAATCGTATGAAAAATATTATATGGTTTGGCGGAAAAGAAGCTTTCATATTTTTTATGTACGTTTTGAGTTCCTCGATATTATTTTTATTCGTGTCCAAATCTGTCTCGTCTAATATTTCAATATTTGTGTATTTTTTAGTTAATGTTCGGCTAACGCCGTCTGTTTTCATCAATCTGAGTGACTTCTCGAGAACTCCTCTGACCACGTACAGTGCTGTTTCCAGCTGTTCAGGATCGATAATTTCGTCGTTTCTGCGCAATAACCGGTAGACGGGCCAAATGGCGTTGTCGACTATGTCAAAAATGCGTATGGCTTCCTTCAAGGGCTCCACAAGCAAGTTCAAGTACTCTCTTAACGTTCGCTGTCTATCCTCCGAAATGTGTTCCTCGGAAGTCATGTTGGACCGATACACCGATAACTGTATCCAAGTGTGGTACAAAACTTTCGAGTAAACCATAGTCATCACCACGTTGTAGGCTGGCCAAGTGTCGTACGGTTGCAATGACCACCGGCCTTGATTCCTCAGACTAATTATAGATACTATCCCTTTATAGTAAGTATCCATAGTCCGCCTCCATTTGAATCTGTAACTCTCCGACTCTCCGAGAATAACGGAGTACCGTTGATGTAAACTTTCTAGCCTGAAGTTTTGCACGGTCATCAGGTCAGCAGCAACGTAACCGCAGTATAACTTGTCGTTCTGGTAGAACTTGATCATGATTTCGTCCATGTTTAGATTTTTTATGCTGTCAATATCCAAATAGCCGTGCTCACGACAGAAATTCGTGTGCAGAGTAACGCTGTCGACGGCCGTAATGATGGGCACAATGTATTGTGTTATGTGATTGTGGTTGTGTTGGAGTGCGGTCAAAATGTTGATGTAGACCATCATTTGCCAATCGTACACCATAAGCTTAAACGAATAGATGATCGACAGCATGCGAGCCAATATAATTCGGTATAGTTTCATCAGTTCGATTAAAACGGGATACGGGGGCCCTTCCTTCTTCGCTACGTCACTGATCTGGTCGATCATGTGGCCGACGATCAAGCCGTTAACACATTGAATCATTTGAACTTTAACCCTGCTCTTGTCGAGCACAACCGACCGGTTTCGGATACAATTTTCGTCGGTCTTGCAGTCGGTCATCAGTAGATGTACCTCATGTGGTTCGATGACCACCGATGTCGTTTCTAATGTTTTGAACTCGTTCATCTGATTGAGTAAATCGCCGTTTAATTCCTCGTGGTCGCATTGAACTTGAAACTTGTATTCAAACTTTGTATAGTCAAATCTGTTGTATCCATTGGTTCGTATCTGTCAGAAAATATTAATGACGACTTATATTAGTTGGGACTTAAATGGCTAAAAGAGGTGTTGACTTTACTTACTAGACTATTGAATAGTCGGCCTAACATCCCCATACCTTCGGTCAATATAATACTATGTATTACCGAAAGAAACAAAAATTTCACGTACATTTTAATGGAAAATTATATTTTCGAAGTTTTTAAAAACTATTATGAAGCTTGAACTACGTATGAAGCTACATATGGATTATTTTATTTTCGATGTTAACAGCATTATGTTAATGATCGCTGTTCTATTTACTCTTGTAAAATGTGTTGCATGAGTAATAAGCATACGTTTTATTTCAGCAATAAATACACTTTACACATACCATTGCTTGTTAGATTAGGTGTTTTTCCCGTAGTGTTTTTATACAATGTGATCTCAATATTTTAAAACTTGTATGTTTTTAACCCCCTCCTAAATTAGTTAATTTTATTTATTTTATATTAACTATTGAAACTTAAACGGTAACGTACATATTTTATTAACTTTTTAAATTTAGAATAATTATTTTTGAAGTTATTCAAGTTTAAAGTTTAGGATGGGAGGAAGGTTGGCGAGTAGCATTATTTTTATCTGCAAGAATTACTCAAACGCACTTCCCCTGCCGTCTTAACTTTTAAACTTTAAAACCTTTTCGCACCAGAAATATTGTTTCAATAGGGCGACTCGTCATTATGAACAGCCAACCCGGTTCTACCGATAAACCGTGTAATTATTTAACAAACACTTCCTCTTGGAGCTGTTGTCTGAAAATTTGTTTACGACGTAGGTTCCATGGCGATGAAATACTTTGGTATATATATATTATATTATGTACTTCATACTCGTACGTGCATAACACTGGTCCGCATTATTACACCACGGCCAATTAAATCGTGCTCAAAGCGACCTTGGACCCGTGCGATGTGTTTTGCCGCATTGTATATTATGTCTGTACACAACAGTAGAACTTGCAGCCCGTGTGTCTATATAATATTATTATCTATGCATATTGTGTACTGTATACGGTCGCACCCACACAATGTCATGCCCATCTCGAAGTCGCCGGATTACAGTGTGGCTAGGAAGTTCAAATGGTCGGATCTGCTATAGGTATTAAAATAGTAGATCACGAGCCTATACATAACACATTTATTATACACTGTAGATATTTTGTTCGTTTGACCTTTGAGCGCAATGATGATGATAATAATATCTAATACGATTTCGGTATTTACAATGACTACTGCGCACCGATGTTGTTTTTTTGTGTACCTATCAAAATATAATAAAATAACACAATTGTCGGGTCCGTTTAATTAATTATTTTATCGTCCGAATTGGCATAAAGCTTCTGCGGCAACCTTGAAAGATGAAAGATGTTTTGGTTAAAATAAGATTTAGTGTTTTTTTTCTCTTTATTTTATAGACGCGGGTGGACGTGAGCGGGTTAGTGCACAAGCGCTTAAGCGCTTTTATACGAACAATAATATTTACTTATTGTTTTGGTGGTTGCTTTCATGAATACAAATTGTAAGGTATTGGGTTTGAATCGTTTCGCTTGATAATATTTTTAAATAATTTATTATCAAACGTCTACGCCAAAAATACATCACATAATGTTGTGTACGTTTTATTAGTAATAAAGGCTATTAGAAATAAATAACAAAATGTGGGTATAGATAAAATTTTGATTTGGTTGATTTACAGATGGAGTTGGAAATGATGGGCGAATACTATATTATATAAAATCCCATCATTATATTTTATAATAATTCAGTCGATAACATTCGGGTACAACTGCAGTCAACACTATTAGGTTTAACCGTTCACAGCTATTAGGTCTGACACAATTTGTTCGTAATTAAAGGAAATGGATTCTGAATTGAAAACGGAAATTCGCTTGTCGCCGTTAGTAAAGCAATTAATGTACAACTCGTGTAACACCGTACGGATGTAATTCACCTACATATTATACTCGTATTGACTAATCGATACATTTCCCAGGCAACACGACGATTCTTGTTAATATACTATAATTTATTATTATGTTAATATTATACCGTAGTCAGTGAGTAAGTCTGTTACTAATTGAATGGTTAATTTAATTTACAATCCGACCATTATGTAACTATTTTACTATATAACGTGGTTGATATTGAATTCATCGTCGTTCGAATTATAATAATTACAAAAACCGGTACATACATTGTTAACATATTCAACAGACATATTATAGTTTAATGGTGGTAGAAATATTATAAAAAATGTCTATGCTACCACTAAAACGATAAGTTTTGAAAAAAAAATATTAAGGAAATAAAAATAAAAATTTCCCTCGAAAAATAATTGGTCATTTTTAGTTTTGTGTAAATGTATTTATGATTTCTCTGTCTCCCTATGTGCGTGCGTCTCTCTCTCTCTCTCTCTCTATACATTTAATAGACCCCTAGACGAGTTTCAAACTAGTTATTAACAGATATGAGTAACATTATAGTCGTACTTAAGGGAGTAGGTACGAGCAAACGGCAATTCGTTAGGTACCAGTTAAAGTAGGTAAGTAAATAATATACTGATGACGTCCATATTATGCAGAAAATGCATCCGGTAAGGTTGAAATCGCAATCATAAATCTAAGTAGGTACACAAAGACGTTTGGACCCTGGCAGTGATATCACGGAATTGGGCGTACGTTTTTACAGTCGGCATCTACCGTTAAATCAATGACAAAACACGGAACTAGTGTACAGTATTAGATATATTGTGTTATTATTGATATGCTTACAGTACATCTACAGTGTAAACCAATTCATCAGCTATACAGATCCTTATAATCGCTCATGTATTAATAATAATAACAGCGCCCAAGGAATAATCGTTTTGGCCTAGAGAGCAGTGCAAGTACAATAAATGACTGAACAATGATTCTTCCACTGTAACCAGTGATTTAATAGGCAATGCAGACACGAACGAGAACCGTATCATTACAACGAAACGCACCCGAGGGACGTTTTCCCTAACATCATCTCGAGAAAACTAGATTTAATAATAATATAGGAAATTATTTGGATCTTTAAAGACTTAGTACTGAGGTCTGATTGCGTACACCTTGGCCTCCATAAGATATTGATAGGTATATTTTATTTAGAATTAAGGCCATGAAGGCTCAAGTATAATACTAATAAAATACAGTTACATTAAATAAATACACTTATAATACAGTTAATTACAATTAAATTGCAGCTTAACTTCATTAATAATAAACAATGAAAAAGACATAGGTAAAAAATAATTCATGTATTGTATAAAATCACCCGAAAGAAAGTTTTCAAGGTATTTTTCTTCCATTGAATTTGAATTAAAAAAGTAACAAAAATAAACAAAATATAATTTTTGTTAAACTATTAATGACTCTACTCACCAGCTTACATTATAATTCAAGTTTAATTTGACAACACTAAAACTTTAGTCTATGCTATACTTAAGTGTTAAGTCAAATACTGCTGGAGAGAATAGCCATAAGCATTAATTAATTATTACTTACACCTACAAATACCTACTGTGTTTTAATTATTCATTCACTAGATTTATTTACTCGTGTACTGCTATCCTCTCCTAATAAAACCTAAAAAAATTGCATGTTTATTGCTTCTACATTTCTAGCTTTAGCTCAAAATCTCACGAACCTAATTTTTCATAGCTCTGCTTATTTAGTAACTATTTTGTCTAATCAGGCATCGACCATCGTGCGCTACCAAAAAAATGAGTATCAAGTATATACAAACAATAACCAAACTAATTTATATTGTTTTTCTCAGTTGGACGGCAAAAAAGGAACAACATAAGGAACGAATAAAGGAGAACCGCTTTCTGGCAGCGACTAGTAGTGGTGTTAACAATCGTCAACCACTGGTAATGAGTAATTAAACATAAGACAATATATGTTTTGATAAAAAAGATTTTAAATGGTACTGAAGATTGCTTGAGCTAGACTAGTAAATGACTCGCCCAGTTACAATCTCAATTTTGATAAACAAAAAGTGGGGTGCTTATTAAACTTCAAATCACGTGTGCTTATGAAAACCGAAAACTTAGTTGCATCCAAGGTCTGTAACACGCAGATCGGAAATTCAACTGCTCTTGACAAATGTTGGACCTTTTTAAGTCACTCCGACCTTGGATATATTATACATAAAAATTATATTTTATAATTATTTTTAATGCATTTCATTTTATTTTTCACGGACAATATCGTTAAAACTTCCTTTTGTAGATTTCCACGCAGATTTTGAGGACATAACGTGCATATATCACATTGTATCATAATAATAATAATAAACTATAAGCGTGTTAAGCGGAATGATAACAACAATATTATTATTATTATTATTATTATTATTATTTAGCTGATTAAATTGCGCATAAGCCGAATCAGCAATGTCGTCAACAGAATACAAGTATATATAATATATTATTATATACTAGGTACTTTAATAATATACCTACTTATATAATTATAAACAAGAAACGAGAAACAATATGTCGGTTGAAGGCACGCGGTTTATCTTTGAACGTATCGAAAAAACCATTAGTCGACTCGTTAAAATGTTTACTTGTGGTGTGCGAGTTACCATAACTGAACGGGCTGGAAGCGGGTCACAGGCAGGGGTCTAGCCTCCAAGTTTCTATAATATCTGTGCACAATATTTAACATAACATGCACACTTATCGCGAGTGACAGTAGAATACGGTACCCAGATGTATACTGTCATCACGTCCAATAATAATACATAAATAGTGTACATTCTTAGACATTATAGTAATATGTGTTTAGGAAAACGCTGTAACTGCGTTCGTCGCGAAGAGACTAACAAAATATTGTACTTGTCTCTTTGCCGAACGCGCATGTACATCAGATGGCTTTTTATAATATGACATTTAAGGAGTATAATATAATATCATCAGCTATCGCATACACCCTTGACCTATATCGCACCGTCCCGATTGTCGACTGATTGTTGGTTGCATATGATTATAAGATAATCGAAAGACTTCTCAATCTTTTTTAGTAATCTAGTGTAGGTATATTATGTGCTCAGAAATTATATTTAAAATCCTATAACCCCTCCGCCCGCCTCCCGAACTCAAAGGAAAATTTAGAAAATATCCTCCTATCGCTTAATCTTTACTGTACTAACCAAGTAAAGAA